CTCAGTGGTAGAGCGCTTGCCTTGCATGCATGAGGCCCTGGGTTTGATTCCTCAGCACCACATAAGCAAAAAGAAAAAGCCAAAAAAAAAAGAAAAAGCCAGAAGTGGCGCTGTGGCTCAAATGGTAGAGCGTTAGCCTTGAGCTGAAGAGCTGAGGGACAGCATCCAGGCCCAGAGTTCAGGCCCCATGACCGGACCCCGAAAAAAAAAATCATAGTTTTCAATATAAAGGAAAGTAACATAGATGTGTTAATGTTCTAAGTTAAGGATTCCATCCTTCCAGGTGAAGGAGGTTACACTCAGGACACAAGAGAAGGTAGCTGACAAAGTCTCATTTCTCAGCCTGGGTGTATTCACCTTATTCCTTCAACCATCCATTATATCTGCAGTTTTCTCAATCTGTTTTTAGTTTACAAAGATTAAAAAAAAAAAATCACACCTTATCCAAGCAGAGGTTTCCATGCCTCTCAGCAATAGCCTTCCTGAAGCCATGAGAAAGAGGATACAGCATACTATGATGAGGGTGCACAGAAGGCAACCTATTCTTTTCTAACTGGTCAGCCACAATACTGACCAATTTCTTCATTCGCTCATCATAGTCTGTCCAATCACAGACAATCTAGATAGAAGCAAAAAGAAGTTATTATGCTGAAAATCCTATTCAAGGATTTAATAATTTATTATCTCCAGTTAGGTGTGGATTATTATGGTCCTAACAATTAACAGTGATTACAATACTGAAATACAATTACTGGCCTGTTATTATTTACCTGTAAGCAATGAGCCAAGTTACAATAAGCATCAGGAAAATCAGGCTTAAGTTTCAGAGCCGTACGATAAGAAGCTATTGCTTCTGGAATATTCCCTGAATCCTAGAAATAAATAAAATGGAACAGTAAGATATTTCTAAAATTAAACATTCAGTGTTAAGATGAACATACGATAGTAAACAGAAGTACCTTGTGAATGGAAGCCAAATTGCTGTGGGCATCTGCAAATGCAGGGTTAATCTGTATGGCACGTGTATAACACTGCAGAGCCCCCTGAACATCCTGCATCTCCTTCAGAGTATTTCCCATGTTAGAGTAAGCATCAGCAAAGGTAGGGCTGATTCTGAAGGAGAGGACAAAGGTTTTACTTATCTAGTACTAAAACCTCTAATCTCGAGAATATTAACTTGTTCTATTATTATTAAATGCCATTTTAGAAACTAGGAAGGTGGTGACACAGTGGTACACTGAATGCCTAACATGTGAAGCACTGGGTTTGATCCCCAGAACTGGGAAAAAAGAAAAGTAAGTCATTTTAGCATTTGCCAAATACCAAACATTGGTAAATTAAACAGTAGAAAAGAAAAAAATAAATAATAAGGCTGTGAGTTTCTTACCGAATAGCTTCCTTATAATGCATCAGAGCTTCCTGCAATTTGCCCTGCTGTTGTAGGACACTTGCTAAATTTGAATGGGCAGCGGCAAACTCTGGAAAGACCTATAAGAGTAAAGAGCAGTATTAAGTTAAAAAAAGCTGGGCACCAGTGGCTATTGCCTGTAATCCTAGCTACTCAGGAGATTGAGATCTGAGGATCCCAGTTCAAAGACAGTCCAGGCAGGAAAGTCCGTGAGCACTTGAAGTGGTGCTATAGCTCAAGTGGTAGAGTGCTAGCCTTGAACTGAAGAGCAAGGACAGCACCCAGGCCCAGAGTTCAAGTCCCACAACTGACAAAAAAAATACTTGCTAAACCAACAGTAGTAACTTCCCATAACCCTAAGAACACTCACTGTTCAAGTAATTTATGGCCCTATACTTCTCCATATTTTCTCTATTCATTCTTCAAGGGCAAGAACTCAAATTCTACCTCTTCTATTTGTATCATTTCTTGTTTCAAACATGAGGTAGACCTCTTCCTCTTGTTTATGCTGACCACTCCAGCACCACCAAAACCCTCTATATTCCAAACTCCTACCATTCCTACTAACCACCTTAAAGCCATTAGACACTGACATTCTTTACTTATTGATAACTTCTCTTGATCTATAGCTTACTGGTCAATTTCTCTGGACACATCTTATCTATGTGTAAGTAATAAACTCAATATAGATAAGGATTTCCTTAAGATCTTACATTTCCTCAAGATCTTAGATTAATATCTTCAAGACATAATTACTAGGCTGGAAATGTGGCTTAGTGGTAGGACTTGTTTAGCATGCATGAGGTTCTGGGTTTGATTCCTCAGTACCACATAAACAGAAAAAGCCAGAAGTGGTGCTGAGGCTCAAGTGGTAGAGTGCTGGCCCTGAGCAAAAGAAGCTCAGGAACAGTACTAAGGTCATGAGTTCAAGCCCCAGAACTGGCAAAAAAAAAAATAAATTTAAAAAAAAAATTAAAAAAAGGACACAATTACTGGCTCCATGATTATTTCAATGAATTCTTTCAAATGACTCAACCACAGTCTATTTTTACAAAAGAGGTGGATGAACCTGGGCAATGGTGGCTCACACCTGTAATCCTAACTATTCAGGAGGCTGAGACTGAGGATTATGGTTCAAAGCCAGCCTGGGTAAAAAAGTCGCTGGTGTTATTATCCCTGATTTTCCACCAAAAAGCCAAAGTGAAGCTGTGGCTCAAATGCTATCTTGAATATAACAGCCCAGGAATAGTACCCAGGCCCAGAACTCAATCCCCAAGACTGGCACATACTCACATACACACACAAAAAAAGAAGTGGATGACACAGTACACTTTACTTTCCCTTGACTACCATATAACCTTAACCCCCAACCACACCACCCTCAACATACTTCTAATGCTTTCCGATACAAGCGAACTGCCTCTTCAATGTTTCCCTGTTCTCGTTTGATGTTGGCTAAGTTGTTCAGAGAGTCTGCATGAGTAGGACACAGACGGAGAGCTGTATTATAACAATCTTCTGCTTCAGCAACCTGGAAAATAAAATATAAAATATAACTACTTAAAAAAAAACTATACAGAAGGTTCACAGGTTACCCATGATACTGTTGCAAAAATTTTAATAACTAAGTCTAATGGCTAGTAATACTCTAGAAGATGTATATTTTTGGTATTCCCATCAACCAAAACTCCAAGCAAACTACATAGCCATTTCAGTACTTAACATGTACAGACAGACAGACTTTCTTTTTTTTTTTTTTTCAGACAGACTTTCTTAATCCCACCAAGCAGCAAAGAAGTAACAACAGAAGGAATAAAAGTCCTTACACTGCCTTTCTCTTTAAGAGCATTGGCTAGGTTGCAGTAAGCATCAGGGAAATGTGGTTGCAGTTCAATGGCTCGCCTGTACGTGTCTATTGCCAGATCTATTAGGCCTTGCTCATAGTATACACAAGCAAGGTTGCCGTGCACCACTGCATGATTTGGACTCAAACTTAGGGCACGAAGGTAAGCTGCCACAGCTCTGTGAATAAAGAAAGGTACACATTAATTTTAATATAATTCATGCTATAGTATACTGAAATGTATCAACTAATTAAAACCTATTACAATTAATTTCTGCTTTATTATACTTAACCTCAAGCCAAATATCACCTTTATAAAATGTACTTTTCACACAGAGGTTGACTAATCCCTTAAGAGATTTTCTTCTGACAAAATATTAAAAATCCAGATTTACTTAGCTTACTGAAGGAGATCAAATTAAAAATAATAATAATCATGGCCAGGTGCTAGTGGTTTACACCTGTAATCCTAGCCCAGGCAGAAAAGTCCATGAAACATTAGCTACCAAAATATCCAGAAGGGGAACTGTGGTTCAGGTGATGAGTGTTAGTCCTGAGCAAGAAAAGCTCAGGGACAGTGCCCGGGTCCTGAGTTCAAGCCTAAGGACCCTCACATGCACACATACACACACATACACATACACACACACAAAGATAATCACTTCAACAGTTTTACAATAATGGAAATGCCAACTCTCAGAGAAAGGATAAGGGCTTTTAGGAAAGACAAGGAAAAATCAGGCAACAATACCTATACACAAAAGGTACACAACAGACATACTCAGATACACTCACAGGAGGAAAATGTTTGAAAAGAAAATATTTCAATCTGTTACTAACATAATTTCAGTTCAAACTCCCAATATAACAATGACAAGAAATTTTAGCAAAGACACATTGATTATCTCACCTGTCAAAAATGCGTGCTTCTTTCAAGACATTTCCCAAGTTTATATAAGCATCCAGAAAATTTGGGTCAAGAGTGACAGCCTAAAAATTTTATTTAGAATTATGTTAGGATTTTGCAAAATTAACTTCTCATTCACAGTCTTATTTTAAAGTCCTTTTAGACTTTCAAATATATTTTCTAGAATAATTCTCATTTAATTTCTGAACCTTATATTTTATTTTGTTTATGTGCCTATACTGGGGCTTAAACTCAGGAATTACACTCAAACTTAACAAGACTGGTGCTCTACCACTTCCCCTTTTTTACTGGTTAATTAGAGGTAACAGTTTCATGGACCTTCATGCCTAGGCTGAATTTGAACTCTGATCTTGAGATCTCAGGATTCTGAGTTGCTAGGATTACAGGCATGTGGCTCCTATCACTATCTATAAACCTCAATTTCATCGATATAACTTCTCAGAATAGGAGTATAGTTCAGTGATAGCTGTCTTGTCTAGCATACTAGAGGACCTGGGTTCCATACCTAGCACTACATAAACAAGCAAACAAATCTTTCCATGTCTCCTACATTTTTATAAGCAAAAATGGTTCCTTAAGAAAAAATTGAACAGCAGTGGTGCTGTGGCTCAAGGTGGATGAGTGCTACCCTTGAGCACAAAAAGCTCAGAGACAGTACCCAGGCCATGATTTCAAGCACCACAACTGACAAAAACAAAGTTAATATTCAAGTTTGTCTGCGAGAGAGACAGCAAGGAAAGGGGTGACACTGTCCAAAAAGAAATGTAATCATTACTTGACTTATGTAAGTATAACTCCTTTGTACACTACCTTAAAATAACAGTAAAACTAATCTTTTAATTCAAGTTTTGTTCTAATTTTACTGAGAATAGTGCAATCACTGGCATGTTGCATTCAATTAGCAAATCTTAACTCTTCTGAAGAACAATAAGTGTGGTAGTTCACACCAGTAATACCAGCTACTTGAAGAGTGGAGGTAAGAGAATCCTGAGTTAAAGGCCAGACTGGGCCACATAGCAAGGCCATGTCTTTTAAAAAAAATGAGATGGACAGTGAGAAATTTAATCCTGATGTGTACAAGATGTTCATTTGGCAGGACACCGGTGGCTCACTTGTAATCCTAGCTACTCCAGGCTAAGATCTGAGGATCACGGTTCGCCCTAGCAGGAAACTCCGTGAGACTCTTATCTCTAATAAACTACTAGAAAACTGGGACTAGTCCTGTGGCTCAAGCAGTAGAGCACTGGGTAGAGCACAGGGAAAGTGCCCAGGCCCAGTATTGAAGCCCCACAACCGATTTAAAAAAAAAAAAAGATGTTCATTTGGACTCTGAGAAATACTTGGGTTGGTCATGATTTACTAAAGAAATGCAATATTTCCTTTTAGTTTGGCTTGTTAGGAATACAATGACTTATATTTGTTGCACATCTTATTTTTGCAACATTAAGGAATCTTAAAATAAATTGGAAAACTTAACAAAAAAACAGGGGTTGGGGGGCTGGAAAGATAGCTTCAGTGGTAGAGCGCTTGCCTTGCATGCATGAGGCCCTGGGTTCAAATCCTCAGCACCCCATAAGCAAAAAGAAAAAAGCCAGAAGTGGCGCTGTGGCTCAAGTGGTAGAGCGCTAGCCTTGAGCTGAAGAGCTGAGGGACAGCACCCAGACCCAGAGTTCAGGCCCCATGACTGGCAAAAAAAAAATTTCCTTGATCTTATCTCTTGAGTAGCCAGGATTACAAGCATCAGCCACCAGCACCAGGCTCATTTAATAACTTTTCACATATTTCAGTCATTCCTATTATTTCAAGACCTATCTTCAAACTTTGAGGGAATCTCTGCAAATTGCATACTAAGTCCTTCTAACACAACTCAAGTAATACTTCCAAGGTTCCTTCCTAGCTGGGTACAGTGGCACAAACCTTGTAGTACTAGCACTTGGGAAGATGAAGACTAGAGAAATGCTTCAGCCCAGAAGCTAGAGAACAGCTTAGGCCAACAGCAGTACCCCATCTCAAAATATCTTTGGTATAATAAAGCATTCTAGAGAAATTTTGTACATCTCTTATCCCAACCTGAAATCAGCCTTTTAATCAAGCAGCTCAGCTTTTCTAAGTTTAATCTGCCCATTTAAAAAGGCATTTTTAGCTGGGTACCTGTGGTTTATGCCTATAATCCTAGCTACTCAGGAGACTTGAGATTTGAGGATTGCAGTTCAAAACCAGCCCAGGCAGAAAAGTCTATGAGACTTGTCTGCAGTTAACCACCAGAAAATCAGAAGTGGCACTCTGGCTCAAAATGGCAGAGAGCTAGTGATGAGTAAAAAGGCTCAGGGACAGCGATGGATGACAATGTTGTCAGACACCTTGTACTCATATACTGTTTTGTAGAATGGGAACTTCTTTGTACAACTACTTAAAGATAATAATAATAAAATGTAAAAAAAAAAGCTCAGGGACAGTGTCCAAGCTGAATTTAAGCCCCAAAACTGGAACACTCCCCACCCCTGCAAAAAGACAATTATTTAACTACATTGTCAATGTGAAATTGGAAACTATTATACACTATGTAGCAAATGCTCCAATACTACCAGAGAAACAAAGACATTATGTGGCTAGATATGTAAAGGATGATTATTTTAGTCTGGTCAGAGCACCAGTTATTAATGACTAACCTTTTCAAAGTGATGGATTGCAAGCCAAATCTCCCCTTGTGCATTGAAAACACAGCCAAGATTACTCCAGGCTACTGCAAAGTTCGGTTGTGTCTCAATTGCTTTCAAATAACATGCCTTTGGAGGGGTTAATGAAAGAAGATGGGAGGGGAAGGAGGTAAAGGGAAAGGGGAAAATTTGTAAAAGGGGGGAAAAAAAAAGATTGGGGAGGGGAAGAAGGTGATATCATTATTCCTTCTCTGACCAGCCAAAAGTGACCCTGCAGCATAGGCTCGCCTGCGCCAAAACTAATGCGCTGCCACAGCTGGCTGCTCCTGCGCCTGCGCCACCAAAACCCAAGTGCAAACCATCATGTTCAGTTCTGCCAACCAATGACCAACCCTTTCATTGGGTCTTGTCTGGGAGGTCAGCTGCTGAAAAACTATGGCTGGACTTCTTACCTCAACACCGAGGGGATCTGGTAATGCTTTCAAGTAATTCTTGAGGGCAACAATTCTGGCTAAGTATTGCTACCTCCACTGTTTCACAAAGCATGTTCTAGAAGGTGTAGAAAGTATCACTAGCAGGGGAGGAAGGATTTTCATAAACAAATAAATTAGGAATACAGGTTTCTTTACTACAGGACTCCCCTAAGCCTTTTAATAACACTAAAGGGTACTCTAAAAACTTAGTTGACCATGAAACTCTTCTCTCTCACTGAGCACTGTAAAAAACGCTATGAAACACATCTGGGGAAATGTCTCACTAACATCAAAACTATACTGAGTCAGATTCCGGTGTCTTCAGAGGACTAAAGCTGAAACCTCATATGACAGGATTGCACCTAGGTTGAGGTCCCTGTAATGCAAGCGCAAACATCGCTTGCGCCACCTAACAGCATCGCTCTGCGCAATCGCTGCGAACTGCTGCGCTATAGAACACCCCTAGACGCAGCAAACGGCCAACCAGATCCATTAATCTACTAGACAGGCCCACATAGAGAATATTTGCTTAATGAGATTAGTTGGACTCAAGGTATGTTAAAACCCAATTTTATCCAAAAAGGCTACAGAATAGGACTGAGGGAGCCAGTCAATCAGATTACTCATCTAGTCAACCGTTCACAGGGGCTCATTCGCACGCAACGCGCATTAACGCTGCGCAGCCTTTGCGCTACTGCAGGGTCACAGCGCATCATCAGAAGAGCAGAATGCTGCAATCCAAACAAAGAAGAAAAAAAGGAAAAAAAATGAACAACAAGAAGAGTTAGAAGCTTTTACTAGTAAATTATCTCTAATAATTTTTAATATCTTAATTAACTTTTACTTATCTTTGATAGAATTGTGGCTATAGTATAAAACATTCGTTTATATAACTTGCTTGTAAATAAAATTATTTTAAGCTGTTTCTGAAGCCACAAGACAGAAGATTCAGGCATGGAGGCAAATTGTTTTGCTGTGGCAGTTACAAACCCGTTACCATATCTCTCATCATGTGACTTTTCGGTGCGTTCCTTGCTGGAAGAGGAGGAGGAGGTTGTGTGTCTGCCCTAGATCCAGGCCTCGAGCTCCCTTCAGCGAGGCACCTTACGCATGGAATAGGAGGTTTCACCCACCTGAAACCTTCTAAATACAATATCAATGGTGAAAAACCAAAAACAAGAGAGAAAATAAAAACAAGATCATTAGTAAAAGTTCAACAAAGCAATTGAAATTCTTTGGATGTCTATTACATATGGGAATGAGGACAGTCTCAAGTCTGTAACATGGGAAACATGCAGAAGGGAGAGGGTTAATCAGGGCTATTGCATACAGCAGGGATTTTTTTTTTTTGCTGGAAGAAAGGCTCTTTGTTTTCTATAAAGACAACTTAATTTTGTTTCCATCTACTAGGAATATGCTGGCTTGAAATTTCAAATGCACTGATTACAAAAGAAATACATTGCATTTCACTCGAGAATAGTTTCTTGTGTACTAAGTTCTCACAAAAAAAAAAAAAAAAACAATAACATTTTTCAAACTAGGTGTCTCCAGAGCTCTGAAATAAAGAAGTCAGCAACCTAAGGCAGGCGCAATGTCTCAGCCTAAACCGATCTCTAAAGCTGCAGTGAAGTGCAATTCATGTTAGCTGTCCGCTTGGTGGGGTGACAATTAATAGGAGCTTATTAAATATTTGTTCTATAAATTACCAATTAGATTTATCAGCTAAGACTGAAATCAATTACAATTCATTAGCTGGAAACCTACAGAAGGTTAATCCAAAGTGTCAGCAGAATTTATGAGCTATGCACTTAAAACTAGTGCCTTTTAACATTAGAGAGTACTAAAAAGCCTTCTCCCTTCCTGTATAAATGAAGCAAACAGACAGCTACGCTGCGCATACACTCCACGCATTAGCATGCGCGTGGGGCTCAGAGCAACAGGTGGGAGTTTCAGAAGCATTCTGGTTTCTCCCCACTCCTCACCCCTGCAGCGCGGTTGCGTAAGGTGGCTTGTAACAAGACAATTGCATTTGTAAATTTAATTGTAAATTATTCCAAAAGCTTTAATTAACCCAACCTGGTATTCAAATTAATTATTTGGAAACACAGAATGCTAAAAGCCACCTTTCCACTTTGGCAAGTTTTCTTTCGATCAGTCCATTTCCCAAACAAACCAGCTTTGTCCTTCTCACTTTTTTTTTTAAGGAGGTGGGGTAGGGAGGAATAAAAGAAGGAAGTGAGGGAGAAAGGAAGGTAAACAACTAGGATTGGAAAAGAAGAAAAAGAAAACTTGGGGAAGGAGTGGGGACAAGAAGGGCAGGATATTCCAATTATTAATTTGCAATAATTTTAATAGCCTTTCTTCCACTGTCAAAAAGGGTAAGGAAGATGAAGGGAGTAAGGTTAAATAAGAAATTTTAAATGCCAGTATTACAGGGTAACATTTGGATGAAATTCTTCTCCACTTACAAGCCACAAAGGACTTAGAAGAGCAGCATTTTCAATGGCACCTGCATCATATAGGAGTCTTGAGCCAAATCACAGGCGCTCTGCTTGTCACCAGCAGGCAAGCCTCAGATTTGAAGGAATGTTATTTATTCCCACATAAGATCATGACGGAGCCCAGTGTTACAAAGATGATCTAGCTCAGCAGAAAGGCTCCACAATGTTCAGGTTCTTGCTTTACCCCCAGATTTAGAACAGATATGCCAAAGCCTGGTCCTGCTCTAGTCTGAGGTGAGTCATGTCGACAGTTTTCCTCAGTTTCATAGGACTGTTTTGTGAAGATAGCGCAATGAAGAGTTGAAGACTTGGCAGAAAGTACAGGTTTTCATAATACTGATGTTTAAATGTGTTCTATCAAACACCTACCTTGGCTTCTTCCAAGCGACCCAGGGCTTTGAGCAGGTTCCCCAGGTCACTGCGAACACAGTACAAATCCTAGAAAACCAGAGATACTGTCATTAATTGTGTTCTGTTTTGTGATCCAAATTATCTTGAAAACACTTCTATGCATCTAGCTCCCTGTTATTTTATTTCCAACTAAAGATTTACAACTTGGGCTGGGAATGTGGCTTAGTGGTAAAGTGTTTGTCTAGCATGCATGAAGCCTTGGGTTCAATTCTCAGTACCACATAAACAGAAAAAGCCACAAGTGGCACTGTGGCTCAAGTGGTAGAGCATTAGCCTTGAACAAATAAAGCTCAACGACCATACCCAGGCCCTGGGACTGGCAAAAAAATCTTCTTTAATTCCAAATCTAAAAGATTTCAAAAATTCACTTGGAAGCCTGGTGGCTCGCGCCTGTAATTCTAGCTACTCAGGAGGCTGAGATCTGAGGATCAAGGTTCAAAGCCAGCCCGGGCAGGAAAATCCATGACTCTTATCTCCGATAAACCGCTAGAAAACTGGAAGTAGTGCTGTGGCTCAAGCAGTAGAGCACTCGCTGAAGAGCACAGGGACAGTGCCCAAGCCCAGAGTTCAAGCCCCATGGCTGACCAAAAAAAAAAAAAATCACTTGGAGCCAGGCATTGGTGGCTCAGGCCTGTAATACTAGCTGCTCAGGAGGCTGAGATCTGAGGATCACAGTTCAAAGCCAGACTGGGGAGGAAGAGACTCTTATCTCCAATGAACCACCAGAAAATTGGAAATGGGTCTGTGTCTCAAAATGGTAGAATGCTGTGTGCAAAAGAGCTGAGGGACAGTGCCCAGGCCCTGAGTTAAAGCCCCACAACCAAAAAAGAAAATTCACTTGGTTATACCTAACACTTTATAGAATTTATTTCTCTTATTTAGTATGAGGGCCTATCTTTTGTTTTACTCTGTAGTGTTTGTTTTGTTTTGCTTTTGGGTCTGGTCGTGGGGCCTGAACTCTGGGCCTGGGCGCTGTCCCTCAGCTTTCCAGCTCAAGGCTAGCATTCTACCACGTGAGTCATAGTGCTACTTCCGGCTTTTTTCTTTTTGCTTATGTGGTGCTGAGGAATCGAACCCAGGGCCTCATGCATGCAAGGCAAGCGCTCTACCACTGAGCCACCTTCCCAGCCCCTCTGTAGTGTTTTACCATAGTGTGTAAGTTGCTTCTCCAGACTCAGCTGGGAGATCTATATATATTATTCCCTAACATGCTCAATTTTGAAATGCATTTGGCCTTACTAGTTTCAGATATAAGACTATGGGACCTTTCTAGGGCCTCTCTTCTCTCCAAATGTCAGTTGTTAGAAAAAATGATTGCATATTTATTCAACTGTTTTATTCACGGTTTTGATGACTCACTCCTGAATCAAGGACCAGAAATTTTCCATAGCGGGTGTGGGGGGGGCGGGGAACAGTACTTCTCTTAGCAAGTGATTACCTATCAACAAAGCTACCCTTTGACACGCAGGCTTATTTAGAAACCTTGACTTCATTACATGCCTAGGCAGAAGGATTACCATCCAACTACAGCCTCAATCCTGACACCTGCCACTAGATTATTCATTAGTATTAAGTGCCATCTGAGTTGAGTGGGTGAATAATGAAAAGCAGTTGACTCTGCTTTTTATTAGCAGTTCAATTGTGTTGCTAGTCATCTGACTCACCAGTATTCGTCAGTATGAAATGTTCAGCAGATCAGTGCACTTCAATTTCTATTTGTTTCAGTTTGCCTTTCTCAGACTCTAGCAAGCAACATGCAGAGATAATAGCAATATGGAGCACACTTATTATCCTAAACCCTTCCATGAGTGAACGAGCCTTAAATTAAGTCCTGAAGTGAAATCTTGTCGTGTGCAAGCAAATTATCATATATATTATTCTCTCCACGATCATATTATGATAAACTACTTTTTGTGATTGTATCACCTATCAGAAACACCAAAAGTCTGCCAAAAAGTAGAGGTTGCTACAGAATGAACAAAACCTAGGGCTGACCAAACTGGACCACCTTCAAGAGCTACCTAACAGGGCTGGGAAGGTGGCTCAGTGGTAGAGCGCTTGCCTTGAGCTGAAATGCTGAAGGACAGCGCCCAGGCCCAGAGTTCAGGCCCCATGACTGGACCCCCCCCCCAAAAAAAAAGAGCTACCTGACAATACTGTGACTTAAGCAATGACTGGTATTTTAGGAGTGTACGGTTGTCTATAATGGCCTTAAGAACAGACCATTTCTTCCCCCCCTCCCCCGCCACCCCCCCCTCCTTAATGGGGCTTGAACTCTAAGCCTGGGCTCAACCACTTGAGCCACAGTGCCACTTCTGGCTTTTTCTGTTTATGTGGGCCTCATGCATGCAAGACAAGCACTCTACCACTGAGCCACCTTCCCAACCCCCAATAAAATTCTTACAACATCACAGGTCCCCTTCATCTTATTACAGACTAATTATCTTATAACCTTAGTCTAAGCATCTTTGAACCTTATTAATACTCCCAGAAATAACAAACATACATTTTATATGTTCTCCTGTATACATTTTGTATGTTCTCAAACTCTAAGGGCAGTTAGCTCTTTGTTTTGGCAGATTACAAGTGAATAATCCAATCTGTTCATACAAGCTACTACTTACCACTTAATTGTGATTATACATCTTTGAACTGTTATCAACTCCTTTATTTTCTCTGAGCCATAACTATCAAAAGTCTCAAAATAATTCTCCAACAATGACACTAATGACTACTCACTTTAGCCAACTGCTACATAATTTGACCTTCTCGTTTCTATAAACTCTTAGATGGATGCCATCCAAGTCCTAACAGTGTATCTATCTATACATATTTAATTGTATCATCCAGAGCCATTACAGCATACTAAAGTTAACACAATATCCACAGTTAAAAATAGATTTCTGCCAGGCGCTGGTGGCACACGCCTATAATCCTAGTTACTCAGGAGACCTCATGAGATCTGAGAATCAGGGTTCCAAGCCCGCCCGGGCAGGAACATCCGGTCCAGACAGGGACATCCATGACTCATCTCCAATTAACCACCAGAAAACCGGAAGTGGTGCTGTGGCTGAAGTGGTAGAGTGCTTGCCTTGAGCTGAAGAGCTGAGGGACAGCACCCAGGACCACAGTTGAAGCTCCATGACCGACAAAAATAAATAGATAGATTTTCAAGAGTACTATAATACAATCAATAAGACACTTTTAGGAAAAGGTAAAATGTCATATCAAATGTAACAGTGAAATCTAACTCTTCTAAATAGACTTTTTTTTTTTTTGGTCAGTCGTGGGACTCGAACTCTGGGCCTGAGCACTGTCCCTGCGTGAAATCTAACTCTTCTAGTTGGGGAACCAAACCTATATGAATACCCACACATACAAGTGAATACCTAATGTCTAGAAAATATAAAGATGCTACCATTCTTGTCAGAAGTGCAAAATCCAAGGCATTGAATTGTTGCATCTGTCAAATCCAGTAATATCTGCCAAGAGAATCATATTCCCATATCCTGGCCCATTCCATGTATTCCCAAGTAATACCCTTCATGAAACTTTTATTCAATGATAATCTGAAACTATAATGAAAATAAGTTGAATTTTTATCATCAAAGGCCTTATAATCTATATGAAAAGACAAGGCACACATACTGAATGCCCACAGCAGTGAAGAATTTAAGAAAAGTAGATGAGCTCAAAAGAGAAGTTTAAGCTGGGCCTCAAAAGATGAAGAGGTTTAACAACAAAGGAAAAGAGCTATGTCACCAAGAAGAAGTAGTATGAATCATGGTAAGGCATTAGATGTTCCTGTATAAGTACCCCTACCTAGAGAGCAACTGCTGCCCCCACCTCCTGACCCCTAACATCTCTCTATATATACACATCAAGTAAAATCAGGTCAGTAAAAACCTACAGTACTTTTCAATTGCCTCTCAAATTAAATTCAAACGCCTCAGCCTCTATTCTTTTGAAATCTTCCAATTGACTCTGCTCTGCTACACTCACTTCTTGTTACTACTTGACTCACCACTTCAGCCAAGGAAGTCTACTTGCTATTTACCTTCCTACAGAATGCTTACGTTATAAGCACCCACTCAAAAGAATCTTCTGATTAATACTCTCCAACAATAATCATCCAAGGCATGGAACTTACATCGTTTTTTCCTTTGTGGGTCAGATCTGTCTCATAAGGAAACCTACAACTTTTTCCCTCAAGAACGTATCTCCCCAATTTCTAACCAAGCACTGTACAACAATAAGCACTCAAGTATTTAAACATGACATTTGTAAGGCAGAACAGAGAGGAATAGAAATATCTAATTTTCTACAGTTCAGCTATATAAGTGAGGCTTGAAATAAATAATATGACAATAATATATGATAGTTAGGATACCAATAGCTGAGTGCTAGTAGCCACCATCAAAGCAGAAACAATCAATGTCAACCACCCAATAAATACAGAAACAGAGCAGCTAGGAGCACTCAGGGTTACAGCCATTATACAAATTATGCAGTTTATGAATAATTCATAAAAAAAGATTGCTAGGTATGAGCAATTCTAGTAAGCTATCATGCAAAAAACCCACCAGATGCAATACCTTTAAATTTGATAAGCAAAGGTTTTAGCAAAATTTTCTAACCATCTACCACTACAAAAAGTGATGATTAATATCAAAATATGAAACAGATCTGTATTTTAAATAATTTCTATAATCAAGTTAAAGAGTAACTTCTAAATAGACATTATAATATTTAAATTTTTCACTTTGAAAAAAACCAAAAGAATTTGAGTATTAGACTATTTTTCATAGAATGCCAAATACATCTATGAATCAGACCCATAATGTAGTAATGATGCTTTTTTTATCTTTTTTGGTAGGTTGTGAACTTCTTTTGCTAGCACTCTACCACTTGAGTCACAGCACCACTTCTAGCTTTTTCTGTTCATGTGGTACTGAGGAATTGAACTCAGGGCTTCATGCATGCTAGGCAAGCACTTTACCACTAAGCTATATTCCCAGCCCTACACTTTTGTTACTTTGTTTTCTTTTCATCCAAGTTATAGTTGTTCTGGGGAACAAGGGACTTCCAGCACTAGAGTCTCTAGGAGACAAAAAAATGTAAGACTTGCCCTCACAACTTTTTTTGTTTGTTTTTTGGTTTTTGGTTTTTTTTTTTTGCAGGCCATGGGGCCTGAACTCTGGGCTTGGGCGTTGTCCCTTAGCTCTTCAGCTCAAGACTAGCACTCTGCCACTGGAGCCACAGTGCCACTTCCGGCTTTTTTTGCTTATGTGGTGCTGAGGAATCGAACCCAGGGCCTCATGCATGTGAAGCAAGTACTCTACCACTGAGCCACCTTCCCAGCCCGCCCTCACAACTTTTTATGTAGTTAGATAAAGGTGTAAACTTAAGAGGTAAGAGGTATAAGAGGGGGTTGTAGGAATCCAGAACAACTTAATAAATTCCAAAGCAACATTATAAGCATTCAAGTTTTGTAACCACCATGGAAATGGTTAATAATTATTATCAGTAATTATCCTACTTTCTTTTTTTTGTTGGTCATGGGGTTTGAACCCTCAGCTCTTCAGCTCAAGGCTAGCACTTTATCACTTGAGCCACAGTGCCACTCTTAGTTTTCTGGTGGTTAATTGGAGATGAGTCTTACAGACTTTCCTGCCCAGGCTGGTTTTGAACTGTGATCCTCAAATCTCAGCCTCCTGAGTAGCTAGGATTACAGGTGTGAGCTACCAGCACCCGGCTATACCTACTGTTTATGAAAAGTTTTCTGTGCTCCCTGTGCTAAGTGTTTTAAATTACTGGTCTTTCTTAATCCTGACAAAGATGGTAATATTTACAATTTTACCAATTAAAAAACAAACCCTTGAATTCCCTGTTATGTAACTTCCTTTGGATCATGTAGCTAGTGATGAAACCTGAGCATGAACATTTTTAAAGCAAATGTAGAAATAAAAACAAAAGATGTAGAGGGGCTACCCAGAGGGCATCTACCCCTCAAGGTAGTTTGAAAATCATCATCATGTCTGTCCTGTTGGTTCTTTTTTTTTGTTTTTTGTTTTTGTTTTTGTTTTGCCAATCCTGGGGCTTGAACTCAGGGCCTGGGCACTGTCCCTAAACCTCTCTGCTCAAGGTTACCACTCTACCACTTGAACCACAGGGCTACTTCTGGCTTTTTCTGTTTATGTGGTACTGAGGAATCGAACTCAGGGCTTCATGCATGCTAGGCAACCACTCTACCACTAAACCACATTCCAGCCCTCCTATGTATTTTTTCAGTGATACTCAATGTATACAGGTGTATATTTGAGTATGTATTTTTTGTTAATTAATTAGCAACAAAGTCTTCAGCAGTTCTATATGCTGCCACTAGGCCTTGTACTTCATTCCTCTCAAGGCATATCTACCATCATGACCCACAGAAGACATAGATAGTACTAAACTAGTGGGATTATCTTTTGACTGCATTTACCTGCCTTTATGTTCTGTTTCTGTATTTCTTCTAGTGGGTGATGCTTCTTTATTTCCATGTTTTTATGTAGCCGACTTGTTTCATTTCCTATCTGATGCTCCTTGTTAATTTATCTCTGATGAGATCTTGAGTCTGTTCCTTATATTATGTTCATAAAACTTAAAAACATCATTACTGGCCAGGTGCCGGTAATCCTAGCTACTCAGGAGGCTGAGATCTGAGGATTTCGGTTCAAAGCCAACCCTGGGCAAGAAAGTCTTTGAGACTCCTATCTCCAATAAACCATTCAGAAAACTGGAAGTGGCACTGTGTCTCAGGTGGTAGAGTGGTAGCCTTGAGCTGAAGAGCTCAGGGACAATACCCAGGCCCTGAGTTCAAGCTCCAGGATTGGCAAAAAAAAAAAAATAAGAATAAATAGTGTAATGTAGTTATTATTACCACTAATCTACCACTTCTTATTACACTGAAAGGAAATAGGACATTGAGGAACAACTTTTGTAGCATAGCTTTTGTCAGAAATTTATATACTAGCACTTTGGTTTAACAATTTTACATTACAGAATAAGGCCTTTCCTCCACCATTCTTTGAAAACAAACTGTTGCAACCATGTATCAGTATTTATCCAAAGTTAACCAAAGCTATGTTATATATCTTGTACTTCAGTGCTATTATTTCAAAACCAAAAGATAGCTGACATTATCTTGTAAGGATTTTTATGCAGTTACTTCTTAAGATGCATTTTTGTAAACATAAAGCAGACCACTACGCCAGGCGCCAGTGGCTCACGCCTGTAATTCTAGCTACTCAGGAGGCTGAGCTCTGAGGATCACAGTTCAAAGCCAGCCCGGGTAAGAAAGGCCTTGAGACTGTGATCTCCAATTGACCACCAGAAAGCCGGAAGTGGTGCTGTAGCTCAAGTGGTAGAGCTAGCCTTGATTTGAAGAGCTGAGGGACAGCACCCAACGTTCAAGCCCCATGACCCAACGTTCAAGCCCCATGACCGACAAAAAAAAAAAAGACCACTTTCATTGTTTTTAGTAGTACATAAACATTTCTAAACTCTATTCTGTGCAGATATTTCAGTATCCAAAGCATCAAACATTTTCCCTTTGCAGAAACAAACCATTAAAATTTTACTTACAGGATTGTACTGAAGTGCAGAGACATAAGCTTGTACTGCTCCTTCCATGTCACCTGCTGCTACTAAAGCGGCTGCCAGATTAATATAACCATCGATGAAATCAGGTTTGAGACGCAATGCATGTCGATAATGCTCAATTGCCTCCTGCAACTGCCCTCTCTCCTTGTACACATTCCCCAAATTGGAATAGGCTTCTGCTAGAAGAGGATTCTGTTTAATTGCCAAGGTGCTAAAGTGAGCAGATCTGGAAAAGGCGAAAGTGTTAATGCATGGGTATCCATGTTCATATAAAAGAAAGCAAGGCCCATATGTAACTGTTTACAGTTTCTGAAGATCTTGTGCTACTGCTAATTGGGCAACCGTATATTTTTTTAACTCGCATACAGCAAGAAAAATCTTGGAAATGTTTTTCAAAAGTAGAAGTATTCTATATTTCAAATTGGAAAGCTTTTTTCTTATGAGATAAAATTCTTTTCTTTTTTTGTCAGTCATGGGGACTAAACTCTGGGTCTGGGTACTGTCCCTCAGCTCTTCAGCTCAAGGCTAGCACACAGCACCACTTCCAGCTCCAGCTTTTTTCTGCTTATGTGGTGCTGAAGAATCGAACCCAGGGCCTCATGCATGAGAAGCAAGCAGTCTACCACTGAGCTAACTTCCCAGCCCCGAAGATAAAATTATTTCTAGAGTCTTTTGACCAAACTGCCATATTGTAAATGATCATTGAAATCAAGAATTAACATGCTGGCCAGGCATCTGTGGCTCATGCCTGTAATCCTAGCTACACAGGAGGTTGATATCTGAGGATAGTGGTTTGAAGCCAGCCTAGACAGGAAAGTCCATGAGCTACTTATCTTCAATTAATTACCAAAAGGCCAGAAGTAGAGCTGTGGCTCAAATGGTAGAGTGTTAGTCTTGAGCAAGAAAGCTCAGGGACAGCACCCAGGCCCTGAGTTCAAGCCCTGGGACTAGAACCAAAAACAAAAAAAGACTTAACATGCTATGTGCATGAGGATCATTTTCCATGTTGGTAAAAATATAATGCTGTGCATAGCACATCATTAAATGTCTAAATATGCCAGAAAGACACTTCTTAAAAGAATGGGAGTATAAATTCTTCCCTTTTAGTTAATTCTACTGATTAGCTAAAGTATTACTTCATAACAACTTAAAGACACATTTCCAACTTGAACTGCATATGCACCTCCTATCCATAGTATATACATATGCTATCATTTCTGAGCATGTCAGTCTCTCAGTCTGACAAGTCTTATAAAGACACAACTAGATCCTCAAATGTATATTAAGAATTTATCTGAAGAAAATTTAAGCAACAGACCCAGGTGGGCAAAGTCTAAGAAAAGACTCTAGTCATATGATAATATAATCACCACCACACAAAAGAAAGAAAAACCAACAGCTGGGTATGTCACAAGTGAGCCAAAAAGCAGATGTGCGTTGGTGGCTCAGTTGAAACTCAGTACTGGAAAATTTTCAAATCCATATATTTCATTATCATTTTTTGAGCTCAGCACCCAGAAGCTGATACTCCCACCACATCTCCTACCTGTCCAGCCTTCGACACTGGAAGTGTATAGATGAAAGTAATAAAAGCACACCAGTATTGTCTGGCTCTTGTCTCCAGAGCTGCATGCAGTGTCTCTCAGCTGCCTCAAAATCTCCTGCCTGATATTCCCGATGTGCCAACTCAGCTAACCCTTGGAAGGAAAGCATACGTTTCGTTGGTTCTGGAGAATCATCAAAACATTTGAGGGAAGGAGGGGGGGAAAACAAAAAGTTAGAAATGCAAACAAAAAAATGTAAAAACATGGTATATTCAACTTAAAGATGAAAATGCTTGAAACTATGTAAAGCACTAGAGTGTTCTGCATGGCAATTTATAGCCCCAAGTCAACACCAGGTGAAGAATTGGCCCATTAATTTGCTCATCAATACTTCCTTTTCTAAAGCACACATATTTACTCCTGAGATTACATTTTAAATATTTTGTACTTTTAAAATTATAAATTTTAAAGATTCATTAAACATTTTGTACTTTTAAATTATAAATCATAATTAGCATCTAAAGATTCATTAAACATTTTGTACTCTTAATTATAAAACAAAGGTAATATCTAAGGTACTCATCCTTAGTTAACATACTGAAACAGAATATTGACTATACAATCTACAAAAGTCACATGATTGTATTTAATAACGTCAAAAATAACCCACTGATGGGCTGGGAATGTGGCTTAGTGGTAGAGTGCTTGCCTAGCATGCATGAAGACCTGGGTTCAATTCATCAGTACCACATAAACAGAAAAAAGCAAGGAAAAGTGGCTCAAGTGGTAGAGTGCTATCCTTGAGCAAAAGAAGCTCAGGAACAGTGTCCAGGCCTTGAGTTCAAGCCCCAGGACTGGCAAAAATGAAATAAAATAGAATAACCTACTGAGAAACAATACATTAGCCCTTGTTTAGGGCGTGATAATCTACCTTAACATGAGTAGGACACCAAATATGTTTTTTAACTCTATATTGATGTGTTTGTACCTTTCAGAACCTACTTTTTAAAAGAGGTACATTAGAGATAAGCTTAAGGGGGAAACCCTAAAAGATACTATTTTTTTAAATAGCTGGTAAACAAGATAAATTTGTCAAACACCAAATATTGAATAGGACCATCAAACATTATAAATAAAAATCCAACAGTACTTGATGGTTCTACCATTAAATTAGCTAAGCCTCACCCACGTTGCTTTAGCATTAACATTTTCTAAAATGCTTTGGCACTTACTAAAGACATTGCAAACAACCCTGTATAATAACCAAGGAGCAACCTACAATTGCAATGAAATTTGTTAAAAAAAAAAAAAAAAAGAGGGGCTGGGAACATGGCCCAGTGGTAGAGTGCTTGCCTTGCATGCATGAGGCCCTGAGTTCAATTCCTCAGCCCCACAAAAGCAGAAAAAGGTAGAAGTGGTGCTGTGGCTCAAGTGGTAGAGCACTAGCCTTGAGCTGAAGAGCTGAAGGACAGCACTCAGGCCCCATGACCGACAAAAAAAACAAAAAGGAAGAAAAAGAGAGGAAGATTGAGAATCCAAAAAACACAAACGAAAACAAAACTTTGTTTTTAAAAATACATTTTTAAAAAGACACCTAATTTATAGCCATACATACTTACAGCAAAATTAGAAAAATGGGTAAGCTTGATGAAAGGGAAAGAGAAAATAAGAACAAAAGAAAGTAAAATAGAAATGGGATGTTAAGAATAGGAGAAGTAAAGTAAACTGACTTCCAAAAGATTTTTTTTAAAAAAAAAAAGGAGAATGGAGCTGGAGCACAACAGAATAAAAACAAAATAATATTCCAGTGTGGTTTACAATACATAATAATAAAGGGTAGAAAGCCCCAGGAGGCAGGGAAACTGCCTAAGTCTCAACTGTAAATATTTATCTAAACAGCGACACGTAGGGAATTCAACCACAGCACTTTCACTAGATAGTTGGAATAGGAAGCCACAAATTGCTTAATTTTGTCAAGGTCACAGTGACAAGCTCAAATTTGAGCCTAGCTCTCCTAATCACCGGAGCAGACCAGTGTTCGGGATAAAGGGGAGAGCTAAGTAAATGTCCTGTCAGAATAGAACCGCACAGCTGACCACAAAAACAAAGAACACAATGGCTTGCATTCAAATGGGGGGGGGGGATCTCTAATAGAAAGTCGAAAATTAAATTTTAGACTAGCGTCTTAACTTCGTTGCTCCTTAATTTAACACACTACGTTGCCAGTTCTCAAAGCGGCTCTTCTGTTCTTTTAATACTGGAAGTGACCATTTCCTCAAATAAGGGATAAAAAAAATCAAATAGAAAATCTAGCACAAAATCTTAAATCACGGTGGACAAAGCGGGGAGGGAGGAATCGGATTAATTATTAATCCCCCTCCCTACAACTATAAATAAGATCGTACTGAAGATTCACCAATTGTTTACTGCACAATGTCCAAAGACACTAAGTAAAACCCTTGACTCACCTCAACTACGAAACAACCAAAAAAATAACCTCGTGGGAAACCTCAGAAGCGTAAACCAACTCCCAACCCCCTCCTGCCCCAAATAGCCGCTATATGGAAAGGCAGCCGAAGGACACTCCTATAATTTGGTTGTTTTCTTATTTTAGTAGCAAATGCTCGCGACTGAATCGTCTGCTGGGGCAACCGCTTTGCACTTGGGCAGAGCTACACTCCAGGTGCTTTACAAAACTCTTCAAGCAAGGATGGAAACTTTATTTATATATATACATATATACATATATATATATGCCCTATGAATAAAGACATACCCGACTAAAGAATGGGGATGGGAGACCCCGAGGTGGCGGCGGAGGAATACAGCGAGAAAGTAACACAAAGCGAGAATTGGGACGGGCAAGGTGGTCAACACCAAAGCTTTTGCAAAGGGTATCTTCTTCCCCAAAGCTAGGAAGTGGAGTGCAAGGCTGACAACCCCCGCAAAGGAAAAGGGTGTGGTTCCCCGGGGGCAGGGAGGAGCAAGAGGGTGGGAAACGCAGGATGGGGGGGGGAGCGGGTGGAATTAGGCGAGGGCAAAAGGAAGCCCCTGGAAATTTCCAATCGAAACCAGGACCGTTCAACCAAAAAAAAAAAAAAACGCCCAAAAGCTCTGCTCAGGCGAGGTGCTACCCAATGTCCCTCTTCTAGAGGTTACTTTAATCTTTACATGATGCAAAGTGAGAATGTGATTACATCGAATAGCACCCCCGCCCGAGATTGGCAGGGAAAGACCAAAAGAAGCCAAGGAGAAAAGGGCTGGAGGAGGCGGTGGAAAGGAAAAGGAGAGGGCAAAGAAAGAGCTGGAATTTGGAGAGAAAAATAGTTGCGACGGGCACTGAAAGGACAGGGATTCCAACGCAGTTCAACCAAGACATTCTAAGCGCGCACGTGTGGCACAAGCGTCCCGAGAGAGTAGAATGCTACAACATTCGTGGAGTTACGAAAAAAAAAATTAGCAAGCGAAATGCAAGCAAGCAAGCAAGCAGCAAAGACCGAATACTTAAGGAACAGACGACAGCGGAAAACAATCGAACGCCTGTAGACCACGAAAAACTCAGCAATGCCACTGATGCAATGGAGATGGTTAGAGGGAAGGGAGTGATGAGAGGTACAGAACGGTGCCAGACCCCCAAAAAGGTGTCTGCCAGGATAGAAAAGGACACTGGTACCTGTACTATCGGCCACGTTGCCCACGGAAGACGCCATCTGGAGCTTCTTGAAGGAGAGTAAGTAAGGAGTGATTGGCTCCTACTGTCGCCACAACTGGCAATAATACTTCGGAAGGCAGTAGGAAGGTTTAACGCTGCCGTGTCGGTGTTTGGTAAAGCTTAAGTAGCGGCAGCAGTTGCAAGCCTCGAACCTTAGGAACTCCGGTTGGGCATTTACCTCTCGCAATCTTGAAATGGCGGCTATGGCTCCTCGACCGAAACAACACACGCCGGAACTACTTTCTGTTACAATCAAGTGCCCACGCGGAAGTAGCGCTGTAACCAGCACTACGAACAACGTGACTGTAATCAAAGTCACTTGCTCTTAAGTAACCTTCCGCCCAGGTCTCATTGCGACAAACATTATTATGTGGAGAGCGCATGCGACAACCCTGTCAACCCTTCACCGGGTTAGTGCACTTTGTGGGACAGTAGTGTCCCAAGTTATGGGAGTGAGGCGGAAGGGAAAAAAGAAAAAAAACATGTAATCACACGTCGAATACATTTTTGCCAAGTGCTAAAATACAACGTAAATGTTGGGAGAAATTCTAGAGACGTCTAAAAAACTTTAATCAACTTTTTTCTTACGAAATACATACTTACCCTGCCTGCGAGGACGATCCGGAGCAAGTAAATGTAAATATAAAAAAATTGCACTTCCATTGTTCGAAACGCTGGGGAAGAGGGTTCCTTTTCGAACTGCGTCTTAATTCTGACTCCACCCATTGAAGCACTTTGATGAAAAAGACTGACACTTTGGCCGACCCAAAAGTATCAGTGTTTGCCACCACTTACACTGAAATTTCAAAATTGGTGCTGTGATCGGGAAAGTTACGCCCAAGGTAGTAGCGTAGATGTTTAACTCGGGATCAATCTGAGCTGGTGCGTGCTGAAATCAACCGTAAAATGTTAAAAATGATTTTTGTCATTTAGATTCCTGACGCTCCTGCGAGCTTAGAGTGTGTTGTCGCAGATACCTGTAAATCGTCATTCTCTGTGAGGTCATTCAGCTCAAGGCAGTTTGCCTAAGCTTAAACGCGTTCACTTGCCATCTGTCTAAACCACAAGTCTAGATGGAGTCGTGACTTGCCTCCCTCTGACAAATCAGCTCTTAGCAGCCTAAGGTGGTTTCAAGTTCGACTGTTCAGACATTTTGTCACATTGTTATTGATTTACATATCATCTCTTGTTCATGAAAGGATTAGAGATACATTGGCACATCAGGGGGGAAATTATTACAAGCTACTGGAGGCTACAAATTGCATCTCTCAAAGCCTTTTTCTTTGGAGCAGTCTTTGATCTAAGAAAAGTAGGTTACTTGCAGGAAGGAAAAAGAGGCTCTGTCTTTTGACTGGAGAGGGTGAACCAAGAGAATGAGAGTGAAGGTGGCCCTGGTACTTTATTTCCATGTATGTGAAAATGTAACAAAAGGACTTGTTGAAATTGTTTTAAGCAGGGTGGGGAGAATAAGGCAAACTGATAGAGGAAGTAAGGTTAATGCGGTATATTGTATCTATGTATGGTACTATCAAAATAAAATCCCCTTGTACAAGTAATGTGTGAATAAAAAGAATTTTGAAAGATTTTTTTAATTTTTAAAAGCTAGGTCTGGAAGTGGTGCTGTGGCTCAAGTGGTAGAGCGCTCACCTTGAGCTGAAGAGCTGAGGGACAGTGCCCAAGCCCAAAGTTCAAGCCCCACGACCGACCACAAAAAAAAAAAAAGCTAGGTCTATAAAGCATATTCATGGGCACATACTTAACTATGGGAGGAGAGAGAAGGGGGAAGAAAAGGGGAGAAGGCGGGGAGAAGAGATGGGGGAAAAGATGGAAGGTGAATAAAGGTGAATATAGTACAAGTAATTTGTTTTGCATGTGTGAAAAGAGAACAGAGTAACCTTTTGAGCTAGTTTTAAGAAATGGAAAGTCAAAGCCCAGGTAGCTGTAGCTCACACCTGTAATCCTAGCTAGTCACAAGTCTGAGACCTAGAGGGTCAAGGTCCAAAGCCACTCTGGGCAGAAAAGTCTCCAAATAACAAGCAAAATGCTACACTGAAAGCTTGATTCAAGTGATAGAGCACCAACCTAGCAAGTGTAAGTCCCTGAGTTCACACCCAAGTACTACAACAAGGATAAGAGAAGGAAGAGTGATAGAGTGAGGTTGATTGAGATACATTGCATATATGTGTGGAAATATCACAATGAATCCTTTTATACAATGAATGGCTGCTAAGAAAAAATACGGAATAAAAAAAAGTCAGTGAATTTCTTTGGATCGGGGAAAGGCACAGAACTTGAGGGAAAAGGAGTGAAAAAGTGCAGCAGTGGAGCTCACTGGATATTGATGAAAGCGAACTACACAACTCGTGGGTGGAGACAGGAAGGAGGGACTGGAAGAGAATGAGGGAACAGAAGACACTATAGGAAGGGAAATGTACTCATTACCTGACTCATGGAATTGTAACACCTCTGTACATCACCTCTACAATAACAATAAAATAATTTTAAAAATTTCTACCACATAGCACCTGGACAACATAAAAATAATCTAGAGTTTGTTTCAATTTCTTTGGACACAGCTAATGTTAATTATGGGCATGAGCACAGAAAAAAATGCTAATATTGCTAATTTTTTCCATACCATAATCAAGATTCACATGATGCAGGGAAAAACACAAAATTTGCTACCCAGAATCTCCAAGAACTTAGTCACCAACCGCTTCCTATAATTTGATTTAACTGGTTAAGTTCCACTCTCCTTCTTCATCAAGTGCCCATCCCCACATGTGGTAAATAAGCTTTTTAACTGTTAAAACAGACTTCTTAAATCTAGCAGATGTTTAAAAAGTGGATGCTAATTAATTAGGTAAAAGCTTCTGATTAAATACTAGTGGCTCACCTCTATAATCCTAGCTTTATAGGAGGCTGAGATCTGAAGGCCTGGGCACACAGCCAGCCCAGGAAAAATCAGAGACTCTTTATGTCCAATTAATTAGTGAGAAAAACTGACTGGAGGTATGGCTTCAGAGGTAGTACACCATCTGTGAGTAGAAAAAGCCAAGTGGTAGACTGGGAATGTAGCTTAGTGGTAGAGTGCTTACCTAGCACTGTGTTCAATTCCTCAGCACCACATAAACAGAAAAGGCTGGAAGTAGTGCTGGGGTTCAAGCCACAGGATTGGCAAAAAAAAAAAGAGTTCAAGCCCCACCAGCACAAAACTATAAATAAATGTCAGGTCATGTTCCCCTTCAGAGATATGCTTTTTGGTTTATACAGAATATTTGTTTTGTTTTGTTTTTCAAGATCAGGACTGCAACTCAGTATCTGACACTTTCACTCATTGGCAGGCACTCTCACCTGAGCCACATATCTAACTCTTCATATAGAATATTTGTGACCCAAGTTCCTCTTCAGAGAAAAGTCACAGGAATATTATGATACATTTTGCTCTTACGGAAAACTGGATGGTGGAAAAAAATAGGAAAAATATCCTTCAATAACCCCATCTAAGCCAGGGATCAACTACACACTCCTGTAATTTTAAACTCCTCAGGAGGCCGAGATCCAGAGGACTGCAGTTCAAATCCAGCTCTGTAAAGAAAAGCCAGAGAGCCCCCATCTTCAATTAATAAGTAAAAGCCAAACTAGAGGGGCTAGGAATGTGGCTTAGTGGTGGATTGATTGCCTTACATGCATAAAGCCCTGGGATCAATTCCTCAGTACCACACAAACAGAAAAAGCCGAAGTGGCACTGATACTCAAGTGGTAGAGTGCTAGCCTTGAGCAAAAGAAGCTCTGGGACAGTGCCCATGCTGGGAGTTCAAGCCCCAGGACTGGCCAAAAAAAAAAAAAAAAAGCCCAACTAGAGGCCCAAGTGATAGAATACAAAGTTGAAGGAGGAAGCTGAGCAAGATTAGGGCCTTGAGTTCAAACTCCCATACAGGCCAAAACCAAAAGAAAACAAAAGGCCTGGAAGGTGTAAAGAATGCATTCATCAGACAAGGATGCCTTGTTCAACCATTAAAATATTTATTACAATGTCTATGTGCAAGGCACAGTGAGGACATAAAATGAACAAGACAAGGCCCTCAGCCTCAAAGAACTTGAATCCTAGTAAACTGACACAACAAGGCACTACACAATGATTCAGAAAAAATTATTTAGGCAATAAAATGCATTAGTCTCAGCCAGTGCTTGGAGGTCACAACTGTAATGCTAACTACTCAGAAGGCTGAAACCTGAAGGATTGATTGTGTTTCAAGCTATCCCAGGTCAAAAAAAGAAAAAAAAAACTGCCAATCACCCAACAAAATGCCAAACTAGAGGCATGGCTCAACTGGAAGAGTGTCAGCCACAACAAGAAAGTCCAGCAAGGGGGTAGGGAGGTGGAAGGGATGGGAGATGGGAAGGGATGGGAAGGGGAAACAAAGGAGGAGGCAACAATGCTTGATAAGAAATGTACTCATTACATTGCCCATGTAATTGTAACCCCTCTGTATGGTATTTTGATAATAATAATAAAAAAAAGGAAGTCCAGCAAGAGCTGAGTTCAAGCCCCAGTACTGACACAAAACAAAAACAAAAACAAAAATAAGTAAACAGGCAAACAACACTGATCGCCAAATATCTAGGCAGGAAACAATCTTGTGGGACTGGAGGAGCTTGATGCCATAAAGGCTTGAGTTGGGTGTTGAGTGCTTTTGGGTGTTTCTTTCACACTAAATTCTCATTACTATGTATTTTCCCACTCTGTTCCTATAATTTTTTATTAGTGTTAGCTGCACAAACAGGGATTCCTTTTGATAGATCTATATATGCCTCCTTGCTTGTTTTTTGATTTTTGTGTTTATTTTTCGGTGGGGGAGCTGGTCCTGGGGCGTGATCTCAGGCCTGGGTACTGTCCCTGAGCTTTTATGCTCAAGGCTAACTTCAATTCCACTTCCAACTTCTTGGTGATTAATTGGATATTAAAGTCTTATGGACTTTCCTGCCTAGACTGGCTTCAAACCCTGATCCTCAGATCTCAGCTTCCTGAGTGTCCAGGATTACAGTAGGACATGTATGAGCCACCAGAACCCAGTTCTTGATATGTCCATATACGTATGCAATGCACCTTGATTGGATCCATTCCTCTCTATCCCCATTCCTCTCTCCCTTCTCAAACCAATCTCAATAACCTTCTTTGTTTCATTTTCACATTTTTATGGATTTTGACAATA